AATAAGTTTTTGATATTGAATGCAATACTTTATCACATCCTAAATGACCCATTTCATCGTGATATATGCGTAATTTATTTTCTTCCATCTCCTTTGGAACATAAAATAAAATTTCCTTTCCAACCTTTCGATACACAAGTCCGTTCCTCATTTCGAATACTTTACTATCCTTTTTCTCCAACTCTTCCCGAATCCGTGTTATAACTTGATCTCTGTTCTGGCAAATCGATAAGTTCTGTTTAAACGTGTTTTCTTCTAAAACTAGCACATTTGAAATTCTACTTAATGCGTGTACATGTACCATCTTTGAACCATTTCGATGCTCTAAATTGTAATCAAAATTTTCCAGTTCCAGAGCCCATCTGGCGATCCTAGGATTTACTTCTCGTTTGTTTAGTGTTAGCGTCAAAGAATTACAATCAGTCACAATACGAAACTTTAATCCCTGCAAATATATCCTTAACCTCCTTAAAGCATAAATTATCGCTAAAGTTTCCAATTCAAAACTATGGTACTTGGATTCTGCTTCGGTAGTTCGTTTTGAAAAGTAAAATATTGGATGGAATTTGCCATCTACTTTTTTTTGTAAAAGAATAGCCCCAAAACCAAGACAACTAGCATCACAATGTAATTCTGTTTCATCCTTTGGATTATATATTGATAATGTTGGTGCTGCTAACAACTTAGCTTTTAGTTTTTCAAAACAATCCATCTCTTTTTGTTCAAATTTGAATTTAACATCTTTTTTAATCAAATGGTATAACGGCTGAACTTCCACAGAAAACCCCTTAATAAACCTCCTAAAATATGAACAAAGCCCCAAAAAAACTGTGTACTTCCTTAGTACTACGCGGAATCGGAAAATTCACAACAGCATCTACATTGCCTTTATCCGGCCTTATACCATCTTTCGATATCCAGTAACCCAAATATTTAATTTCGGACTTCATAAACTGGCACTTGTTAATTCTCAATTCTAATTTATTTTTAACTAGTCTGTCAAATACATCCTTCATTATTTCCAAATGCTCATATTCAGAATTAGTAGCAACCATTATATCATCTAAATAAATAGCTACCTTGCCCGATCGAACTAAATCATCGAAAGCATAATTTACAAAACGCTGAAAAGTAGATGGAGCATTCTTGAGCCCAAATGGCATTCTACAAAACTCGAACTGCCCCAAAGGAGTAACAAATGATGTGTACTTTATGGAGTCTTCATTCATTCGCACATGATAAAATGCACTCTTTAAATCCAATAATGAAAAGATAGTTTTATTAACTAATCTATCTAAAAGATCATCTATTAATGGTATTGGATAATTATCTTTCAAAGTATTTTTATTTAATGTCCGATAATCTACACAAAGCCGTATGTATCCCGCCTTTTTAAGCAACAATACTATTTGAGATGAGTATTCGGATTTACTCGGCCTGACCACGTTTTTTTCTAATAACTCATCTAGTATAGCCTGAACTTTTTCCTTTTCATTGTAAGCTAATCTCCGTGGAGGGTAGTGGATAGGCTTTTCATTATTCAACAAAAGCTTCATTCTACAATCGGTTTCTGGTTCATCAGGGCGTTTGCAGTACAAATGACATTCTTTAAATATTTTATCAAACTTTCTTTTAGTTTCACAACTTATTTCATTATTATCAATAAATGACTCCTTATCTAAATCAATTTTCATTAAACTGCAACATTCTTTCTCAAAGCTAGTACTATTATCATCCATGATCCTACTCATTTCATTTTTAAGTTTCCATTTAGCTAAGTTCAAGTAATCCCTACCTAAAATTACAGAATATGACATAGTTTCATCTGGAACAACATACAAATTCAACTCTACTTGACTATTGTTGTATACAATTATACATTTTAATTGGCCAATTATTTTAAGTTGGCATTTATTAATACCGAAAAACTTAAATTCAGATTTATAGTTTCTTATAAGAACAACATTGGGCACGAACTGTTGGCGAATTAAACTTATTGCACTGCCAGTGTCAATTAGAGTACCTAATGTTGAATGAAACTTATAACTTCCTTTTATAAAACAATATTCAATGTACCTTACATAATCATCACAATTGTCATCATCTTGCTCCCCAACGTGATGAACCTTCCCTTTTGGGCATTCAGCAGCATAGTGTCCTAATTGTGCACATACGTGGCATGCTCCTTTTTCACGTTTCGGTTTGCGACATTCAGTTGCTACATGACCTAGGGAATTGCAATTGAAACACCTCTTCGATTTTGATTGCTGAACCGCTTTATCGTTTGCACTACTACCGACCTTCATCAAGTCAACCTCTTGAAAAGCTTCGAGCAAGCTTTGTTTATTACTAAACCGCTGTATTTTTGCTTGCGAACGTAAAAAATAATCAGGAATTCCTTCAATAATGTGTTCTAATAAGTCGGCCTCATTCATCAAAATTTTATTTGATAGTATTAACTTCTCATTGAAATATTCCTGGAACGATTCATTAGAATGCCACTTTCTTCCTTCGAATTCCTTCATTAAAGCTAGTCGGCTTGAGCGATCTTCAAATAACATCCGCATTTCTACCAGTAAATTTGCAACACTCATTGACATTATATCAGATCGCGAATAAAACCACTTTAAAGCTCGACCTTTTAATTTAATTGAAATTAGAGCCTTCGTATTGTTTTCATCTAAATCGTATGCGGTTTGTACACTTTTCAGCTGAGCTTCACTCTGCTGAAAATAGTCACCGTTGCCAGTAAAATCTGGTATTATTTCTTTTGCCAGCATAAAATTCTTCATACTAGTAAATCCTGTGCCTGAACTAGTGCATATTTCATCGTCATAAGAGTTTTGTTGTTTATTAATTCTTGTCAGCATCTCATTTTCTCTTTTAAGTAACTCGTTCTCTCTTTTTTGCATTTCATTCTCTCGTTTCATTATTTCTAATTCCTTTTTCAACAGTTCCCACTCATTTGCTTGAATATTCATTCGCTTTCCGTTTCCGTTCTGCCTTGTATTTGCCCCGCTGTACTCATTTTGACTACTATCACCATTACAATTCATCAGCTGCGCATATCTGCCGACGCTCGCCTCATCGCCACCATACACTTCGGCGCTGCGTATGTCGTTATCAACTAATACAGCTTCCGATACCGCCTGCTTCAAAAATTTCGCCAATTGAAGCACATGCTTGATTATCTACACTACTGGCTTCGCAGTTGCGTAGAGGTAGCAGAAAATCACCTCGATTATGCAAACTGACCAAACGGAGCACCAGTTCGTTTTTGGTGCCGCTGGTCTCCTCCCCAAGCTTTCGCAGGCTTGTTTTCAGCTGTGCAACGGTATATGTTTTTAAAACATTCAAAACTTCATTGGAAGGCGTGTCCATACCGCAACTGATTATTATAGTATTCTTTCTTCAATTAAAATAATATTAATTTTGCAGGAAAGTTCTTTTTTCTTCTTTATTCTTTGCCAGTCTATTTATGAATGAAAAAATTATTTTTATGTTACATTTATAAGTTCTTTACCTAAAGCTACTACAGTTACAAGTGTGTTACAATTGAGATACATATGTTACAGTAGGTGTGCTACAGGTAATATGTGCTACACTATTTGATAATTTGACGTAAATTATCCGTTGTTTATCCGTGAAAAGAATAATCTTGCCGTGGAAGTCAAAATATAACGTCTATTTTTTTGCGGAAGCCCAACATTTACACGAAGATGAAAATATTGTCGGTTAACCGTCAAAGCGAAACCGGAATCGAACATTCGGTCGTACACAACAATGGCACGCTTTCATCCGAATTGGCAGTCATGTAGCCCGTTTCTGTAACTTTTCTCTACCGATTATTTCTCTACTGGTAGAGAAAATATGTCACTCTCACCTACTAATTAGCAGTAGAGAACAGGGCGGCGAATTCATATCTCAATTCGCCTTGGTAGAGAATTGTTACAGAAACGAGCTACTGATGAGCGACGCAAAAATTATCTCTCTCTCTCGCATGGCGTCACATTGCGAAGAATTAACGTTGTCTCTTCTCCAAGCGCATATGTTGTACATATATTTGTAAACGTACAGTTATGTCGTCGACTCCGACAGCTAATGTTTGCGCACTTGCTAACTCCCTCCTGCTCAGGCAGACATTTCTTCTCTCTCGCGCATGGCGTCATATGGCGTAGAACTAAACGCAGTCTCTTCTCCAAGCGCATATGTATACGTGTAAGCGTTTAGCGCAATCGCAAGTGGAACCGTTATGCCGCCGCTTAGGCCACCTGCCTACTCTCTGCTCAAACTTGTTTGGCATCAACAGGGGTGCCAACAATGCTTGGCTAAGGAGCTAAAAACAAAACTAAATAAAAGGCTTGAAATTTTCATGGAATTCGATGTACGTTTTATATTGAACAAGTTGGAAACTTTGAGCCATACAGGTTTAAACAAATTACTATTTAATTCAGATAAAAAAAAAAATTTTCAACTCATGCGCGTTTTGAACAATTTAAATTATAATACTTAAGTAATTTAAGGAAAATGCTCGAATTCAGCAAAAAACTTCGATTGATTTTTTGAAGAAGTGAGCATTTAGCCGAATATGGTATACATATTTCCGATTAACGCTGCCAACTACCCTGTAAAGCTTGAAATTTTTACGGAAGTCGGTACAAGTTAGAAACGTGGAGTTATATGATTTTGTTCAATAAAATGATTTTGTTCAAAAAAGTTCTATATGTGCGCGTTTAGCAAAGCTAAAATTTTCGATTTCGTCAAAATCTCTGGTTGTTTGACATCAACAGGGCTGCCAACAATGCTAGGCTAAGGAGCTGAAAACAAAACTAAATAAAAGGCTTGAGATTTTCATGGAATTCGGTGTACGTTTTATATTTAACAAGTTGGAAGCTTTGATCCATACAGGTTTAAAAAAATATATATTCAATAATATATTATCAAATAGTTAGTTTGGGTTTAGCTGGTTTCCTTAATTTGGTTGGATAATTAATTTAACGGATAAACAACGAATAATTTACGGTAAATTATCAGATAGTTAGTTTGGGTTTAGCTGGTTTCCTTAATTGGT